TCATGTGTGCCCTGTGCATCTGCCTAGACGAGAAGAAGAATGACAACAAGTAGGGTTAGTGCCCGGGTGGTCGGCGTGAGCAAGCTTTGGTCCGGAGATTTGGACGGTAGTACTATGTCATGATACCTAACGCGCAATATGAACTTTGGTTTGTTGTTTTACTTTGCCTGTCAGGGGCACAAAGCTTAGCACCGTTAATATGGGAAGACGTCCGTGAGGAGTTCGAACAAACACCTACTTGCCATGCATAAAACCTAGTGCTTGCTTGGCGAGCGCTGACAACAATCTTCGAGAAGACAACTCGGGTTTGATCGAGAACCGTATCACCCATCCGCTCAGGAAGTCGATGTAATTGTTTCGATTTCGTCAGCTCGGCTCGGCTCGGAAATCTCTTTCGAGCTCGGAATGTCTTTCCCCGCGTTTTCCCCACAAGCCGGATCTGCCCTGTCTGGGGTAATGCTACTCTATCTCTCGTGATCGGAACGCACCCCTGGCGAGTCGTCTTATTTCATATCACTTGACGAGGCCAGTCGGCGACTAATATCCCGAATATTGCTAGAGACAAGTTTGCGGACGCCCTAGTCCTGAGGAGACCGGACTCACTATGACCGAGATCTTCTTCACATAAGTACCGAAGGTTGAGCTGCCGGTTAACTCTTCTGCTTTTCGGTATGTCTTTCTATATTTCACAGACCCGACCATCGGTGTAACGCCTGCCATGGAGGCTCTCTCCCTCTTGCTGTTGTTTGCGACCGGAGCCGTGACAGCTATACCGACGAGTTTTCCAACCAATGCCAAGTAGGAGGACCTTGCCCTTCCTGCCTCCCGGCACCGAAATCAATTATGAATTCTAACGCTTCTTTCGTACAGTATCTTTACCCCCAAAGGCGTAGCCACTGGCAAGGCTGTTCAGTTGCAGACTCAACCCTTCTCACCTTTCACGCTCAGCCCGGACACTCCGGTAGCCACCCTTGACTATGGAGCTGAGAGGGCAGGCTATCCGATCTTCGACGTCACCTCGCTCAGTGCCCCGGCGCAAATCGAAGTCAAGTATACCGAGCACTTTGACGGGTTGAACCATCCCTTCAGCGACGGGCCGTTCACCTACACCAACATGCTCAGCAACAACTTCCGCGTCGAGACGTTCGACGTCACGGCCACCGGCCGGCTTGCATCTCCGCTGCTCCAAGGGGGCCAGAAATGGCAGTCCATCAGGCTCCTGACCAACGGCACGGTGGAAGTCTCGAGTGCGGGCTTCGCTGCGACCATTGACATGGCCGAGCCGGAGGATCTCCCTGGGCAGTTTGACAGCGATGATGAGACCTTGAATGAGATTTGGAAGCTCGGCGCCAGAGCGGCGACGGCGGCCTGCTTCGACAAGGGCACGCAAAAAGACACATGGCAGGTGAGCGAGGAGGACGGCGTGTTGGCCCGTAGCATGCGGCCAGCCGCGACGTATAAGGGCACGTCCTGGAGCAAGTACACGCTGGAGTTCGACACCAAGATCCAAAAAGGCGGAAGCTGGTTCATGACTGTAAGACCCAACCCTATTTCACCCGTGAAATCCGCAAGACAACGCAACTAAGTGCCCCGCCTAGGGAGGTACTCTGGCCGGCAACGGATACATGATGCTGCTGACCGGCGAGCTGCCCGAGACGACCCGCTTCGCCAACACCAACACGACGTTGACGCCGGCCAACACGATCTCGCTGGCCTACGGAGCCGACTTTGTGAACCAGACAACACTGAACACGTTTCTGCTCGACGTCTTCCAGGTTCCGTTCAACGTGAAGGAGAACACATGGTACCACATCACGGCATCCATGGCTCCATCGGGCCGCCTTGCCGTCTCCATCGACGACACGCAGGTGTTGAATATCTCGCGATCCGACTACCCGTGGGCACTCGCCGGCAGCGCCCTGGGGGGGTACGGAGGCTCTCCCGACTTCACCGGCTCCATCGGCTTCGGCGCGTACCAGGACCAGGCAGCCTACTTCAGAAACGCGCACGTCTACGACACCGCCAACGGCTCGACCATCTACGCCAACAACCTCACCAGCCCAGACGTCCTCGTCGAGTACGGGACCCAGGCAAACACCGACAGTGTGTGCGTCGATGGGCCCAAGCGCGACAGGCTCGTCTGGCTCGGCGACTTCTACCACACGGCGCGCATCATCGCCGCCAGCACGTCGCGGGCGGACCAGTCGCGCGGGACGCTGCAGCTCCTGATCGACTCGCAGATCGCCAACGGCCAGATGAACATCAGCCCCAACCTCGGGTACGACCTGGCATCCGTCGCGGACGCGGTGGGGCCGCAAGGCGGCGGCTCGTTCCCGCTGCAGGACTACCAGCTCCTGGGGCTGATGGCGTTCAGCAGCCACGTGCGGCTGTACAACGACCTCGCGTGGGCGAGGGCGACGTGGCCGCGGTGGCAGAGGGTGGTCGACTGGCTTCTGCCGCAAATCAGCTCGGCGACGGGGCTGTTGACGTTCCCGGGCGGGTATGCCTTCACCGGGCCGGCGAACGCGGGGTCCGCGATCGGGTGCGAGGCCGTCCAGGCTCTCACGGGCGTGGCGGACGTGGCCGCCGCCATCGACGACACGGCGTCTGCGACGCGATACCGCGAAGCCGCAAGCTCGTTGGCGGACGCCATCAACGAGAAGCTGTGGAACGACGACGTGGGCGCGTACGGCCTCTCGCTCGCGGACGTGAGCGGCATCTCCGTGGCGGCGACCTCGTTCTGCATCACCTCGGGCGTGGCGGACGCGAACCGCACCGCCCGCTCCATCGCCGCGTTGCTGTCCGGGCTGAAGCTCGGCCCGGGCTACAAAGACGCCTCGACCGTGTCCTCCACCGACGGCAGCGTCAACATCTCGCCCAACACCAACGGGTTCCTCCTCTCGGCGCTCTTCGCGGGCAACGCCACGCGGGCGGCCGACGAGCTGATGCGGAGCCTCTGGGGCGCGATGCTCCCGGGTGCCGGCGAGGCGCAGAACAAGAGCGCCGTCGGCGCGAGCTGGGAGTACGTCAACGCCGCGACGCTGGAGCCCGGCCTGGGCCTGTTCACGAGCCTCGGCCACCCCTGGGGCGGCGCCCCGACGTACGTCTTGACGGAATGGGCGGCGGGCCTGCGGGCCGTCGATGGCACCGACGGGTTCGGCTACAAGAACTGGCTGGTCGCACCGGCGTCCGGGGTGGCATTGGGGCTGAAGAGGGCGAGTGCGAGCGTCGTCACCGCGTTTGGTGGCGACCTCAGCGTCGAGTGGCGGAAGGATGGCGATAAGATCGGGATCACCATCAGGGCTCCTATGGACACGAAGGGGCAGTTTGTGTACGGGCACGAGAGCATTGCGCTGCACGGACGGACCGAGTATCAGTTTACCGTGGACACGTCGTTGCAGAATGGCATCGTTTAGGCGATGGGCCGCTAGCTAGCTATTGTACAGACCTTTCTTGAACAACAACTATCATGTATATGGACCTAAGACCAACTTACCAGCCGAGTCATGTCCGTTCTGTTCCAGGTGGCGGCGGCCTCCTTCATATCCATGCCCGACGCGGGGGTAGGGTGTATCTGGAAAAAGCCGACGGAATCGCGCGGAACTAACTACTCCGTATTAGTCTTAAGGTGGATTCCGGCATGACCGGGGCATCGCGTGCCTCCACTCTGCGAGCACGCACACAAGCGGTTGTGTAGTGTAGTGGTTATCACTGTAGGTTCTCGCAGAAGCGCTCCAGCATTCATCAGATACTGACTCCCATCGAGCCGGATTTTGATCCCTTGCCATCAAATGCCTTCCGGCAACCCCGGTTCGAGCCCGGGCACGACCTAATTTTTCTCTTTTTATTTTTCGTTTTTCGTTACATTTTTCTGGTGGCGGCCTCCAGTATCTGAGACGGTAAATACGGCAAAATGCCTCGCTTTTTAGACAGGCCTAGTGTTTCTCTTTGAATCCAGTGTATGTATATGAGCTTTTCGTGGCATAAGCATAGAGTGGAGGAGTGTTGACCGTAACTCCGGCCATAAAGGCCCTACCGGCTACTCTCGGCATTCTATTCCGGCATCGGAACTACTCGATCGAGCTCCGTGCTTCATCTCTCCCTCCTCCGATGTCGTGCCGCTCCCTACCACCCGCTCCCTCCGCTCATGTAGGATTCGGTCACATGACGGTGTAATCAACACGCCCCAAGAAGCATTCGAGGGCGTCCGCAGTTATTACTTTGTCCCATCCAAATCCACAATGTCCATCCCCACACGCGTCTTGAGGAACAGTTTCATCCCCGCAGCCAGAAACCTACCCCGCATCGCCAGCAGGACCTCGCCGTTCAGCTTCAGATACCGCACGATGGCTACCAGCGCAAAGGAGTTCCTGTGCATCCTCCCGGACAAGCCGGATGCGCTCGCGCGGCGGTTGGAGGTCAGGGCGTGAGTAGACTCCCTGCCGTCGAGAACAATGAAGCTCGGTGATGAGGCTGACACGACGAAGCACGCATCTGGCCGGTGCTCAGGCTCATGCGGGCAATGGAAAAATAGCTCTCGGCGGTACGTCCTCTCTCACTTCTTCCCCTCTCGCGTGAAGCTGTTAGCCTGACGGGAATGATGTACGAATGCAGGCGCCATGTTTGGAGAGCACCCAACCGAGGGAAAGACACCTAGCTTCAAGGGCAGCGTCATCATCTACACTGCCAAGGATGCCGAGGAGGCTTGGGAGCTCATCAGGAACGACGTTTATGCCAAGAGCGATGTGTGGGATCTCGAGAAGGCGCAGGTCATTCCGGTAAGTCAATGACCCACGCCCAAGCTGGAACGAGCTCTCTTTGCAGCGAGGTGCTAATGTCGATGCGTGACATAGTTCAAGTCTGCCGTGCGAGAGTCTTTGTAGCTTTTGTCCGCGTGGGGCCTCAGTTTAGTACTTGGAAGGGACTCGTGGAATGCATGGACGACGCAGCGGCGCTTATTGTACACGATGATGGTCCTCCTTTTTAAACCAGGACTCATTTCATCTTCTGTGAACCTCGTCGGAATCGACAGACTGAATCAGGTCCTCCACGTCCAGCCGCTCGGCCAAATCCAGCAACGCCTGCGGCGAAAGACCGCCCATGCATCCCGTATCGAATATGTCCCACCCCGCCTCCTCCATCTGGTCCAGAAACGACCCATGCTCGTGTCCGTGATGATGGTGCGGGTTCGCGCTGCTCGGCGGCGGCGTCGGCGGCTCCTCCGCGGGCGGCGTCAGAGCCGACATGATGTGCTCGAGCCGACTGAGCTCCAGCTTCCGCAGCGGCGCGACCAGGCTGCCCTTGGAAATCATCTTGTCCAGCACGCTCGTGATGTTCTCGCACCAGGTGTCGTCTTGTATGAGAGACGGGCTGATGACCCGGATGAGGTGGAGGAGGAAGGCCGAGGAGAAGGCGTCCTCGAGCTGGAAAGGCAGGAAGGCCTCGAGGAGGTCTTCGTCGCCGAGGACGCGGAGGGTCCGGAGCACCGTCTGCGCCGAGTCGACGCACGACTGCAGCAGGGAGGCGACGGGGGGCGTCAGGGTGACGGTATGGGACTGCCGCATGTCCGAGTGTTCGATGTGCATGTGGAGAGCGCACATGACCAGTGGTCGCGTTGTCAGCACCACGCACTATCAATGTCAGCTGGCCAATTACGGTTGCTCCCTGAGCGGCCGCGGACTTACGTGATGGTAGGAGAGGATGAGCCGTAATGCCATCCTCGAGGCCCTGCTGACAGACCCTTGGAAGTGAGTGTCGAGCAATGCCGTAAGGTCGCGGGATAGACGCGCAAGGTCCCGGAGGATAGACTGGGTGTTTGGGACAAGCGAGCCATCAAACTCCTTGCCGACACCATACACAGCTGAGGCGCGGGATTAGTAAAGCCAAAATAAAGGGGACCGTCTCTAGGTAGAACCTACTCGTGAGAATGCGTGCCATTAAGCGCGAGAGCCGGACATGCAGGGTCATGTTCAGCGCATCCAGAGAGTTGTCTCCGTTTGAAGGCAGCTTGACGGTGATGTCCTCGTCCCGGATCGATGTCGGCGCCCCCATGAGGGCGGAAAATTCTCTGTCGAGGGTGTACACCACCCAGAACACGATGTTGCAGCGCCTCGAGTAGTCGGCGCCCACTACGTCTTCGGGCATGTGTCTGTAGATGCCTTCGACGATGCCGATCCGCAGTGCCTGTCCGATCTGCGACTTTGTCAGCCCGTCCGCTCGAGGGTCTGAAATATCATAAGAAGGGTCTTCCTACATGCTGATATGCTGCCAACCTCATGTCCAAGCACTGGAAGTACAATGCCGCCAGCGCAAGGGCTTGGATGGCGTGGATGGAATCCGGGCTGAGACCCGACAAGTCGGGGAGCAGCGCCATGGCCCGCGTCGCGTACTGGACCCCGGGAGGGGCCGTCGCCTGCGGGCCGCTGCTGACGACAAAGGCCTTGCCGAACGCCAGGATGAGCAGATACTGGGCGTACCACAGCCTCGAGGAGCTGGCCTTCCCAACCGGGTCCTCGTACAGCTCGCGCATGTGCCTCACGAAGGACGGCTCGTCGATGAGGTAGAAGACGGCGCCGAGGTAGAACTTTGCCGTGTTCAGCAGGTACATGGCGTAGTCGAGCGGCGGGAGGTTGGACACGTCGGGGGTCTCGGCGGCGCCCAGGGGCGTCCACTGCATCCTGAAGGCGCCCTCGTGCGGCAGATGCCACGGGTCCGGAGCGGCATCGGGCATGCGTTTCCCGAGCAGGGCCAGGACTCTGCGGGAAAAAGACCACGAGGAGGTAGCACCCATGTACCCTGCCGAGCTCTGAATCAGCACGTCTTTGTCCAACCACGGAAAACGGTCTCTACTCACAATACCGGTCGCCCACTTTTGCGAATGTGTAGTCGTTGTCGACAAGGGGGTTCTGCCAGAATCCCGGTCCGATCTCGCCCTCATCTCTATGGGTTGAAGGACCGTCGTCCACCTCACTATCAGGGTCTGACGGGGCAGGACGACCACCCAGGGCTGGACTGTCTACTACCAATCTGTGAGCCAGGGGCGTTCTGTTGATGTGCGGGCTGGGTGTTGTGGTAATCGTTACCATTGCGTGGCGTTTCCAGCTGGTTCGTCATGTCCTCACTGCGGCCCGTGGAAGTGTGAAGCGGCGTTGCGTACGCCCGGCTCTGCACATCTTCAACATCAATCCCCCGACTCAAAGCCCTCGTTGACCGGTCAGAACTCTGCTCGGTATTCCGGTTCTGAAGTTCGCGTAGGTAGCTGCGGAACGAACTCAGCTTCTTCGCCATCACCACCGCGCGCCCTGAGACGCAACTGTTGTCGGGGGGGTTGCGACAACTCACCTCTCCGTCACCGACACCCGCTTGTCCTCGGCGGCGAAGATGCACCGGTGCTTTTTCCTGTCGCAACGGGCGCAAGGCTGAGAGCCGGAGCACTTGACTTTCATCACCCGGCATCTTTCGCATCTTTTTCCCGGGAAGATAAAAAAAATGTCAGTTAATTGGCCCTCGTTTTCTTTTTTTTTTTCATTCTCTGTCGGAATGGACGAGGAGCGGAACACCCCCGCCCGCACGCACGCACGCTTTCTGGCACTTTTTGGTCACTTTGTATTGCCCCCCTTGGCTTAGTTGCGGCATGGCGAACTGGTCTCGCGGGGCCGGGTCGAAAACTTCATATCGTTCCCTCGGTGAGGCGTTACAGGTTATCGCGTTGAGTCTGGGTATCGATATGATGTCGGAGCAGCGTTCCGACAACGTCCATGTGTGCGGGCCCTGTCATCTTTATGGAATGGGGGGAAACGGCCTCGGCACAGAGGCACCAGAGGCACTAGCGTTCTAGGTGGCGGGCTTATCGGACATGGCGGTCTGTCTGTCTGTCTGGGGTATCGTAACTCGCCGAAGATAGCCGACAAGCCCATATTGCAGCTCCAGTCGTTATCACTCTCGGGGTTGCATGCCTGGGGTTTACCCCGCAAGGTTGAGACTTCACCTATTAACGCGTGACTTGCCTCCAGGGTTGGTAATAGGCATCACGTTTGACACGAAATACGCATCATCGCGGGGAAGATCGACAGCGGTGCGAATCGTAGACCTATGGGGCCATCTCTGGATGTTATGGGGTTGGCCGAGCACGAGACCACTTGGCTCCGGGGAGCAGTTTGTCATAGACAGGGTCCGGCTCTGGAGTTGTGGACGGCCAAGCCGGGTGTAGCATAGACTACGAGAGATGATCGCTGTGCATCTCAATTTGCTCTGTATGCTGTGTCGGCAACCCCGATAATAAATAGAAGTGCAGAGAGTCGAAAGGGGCCGAATACTGGATGAAGACTTGAAGAACACTCTAGAGATAGAGAGAACGAATGAATGGCAAGCACTCGTTTTATCAGCTGGATTCATCATGGGCTGATTCCTTGCGTGGATCAACGCCAGCGGGTTGACATGCCACAGCCGCACAACCGGGATTCTTGTTGCGTAAGACTGCTCCAACGAAGGAAGCCAGGTTGCGCTGGAGAAGATACTGGAAAGTCTCTTGCTATGCGGATGTGGGATGACCGAGTCGTTGCGCAATGCCCGTGTCGGGTGGCCCATCCGACATTCCCAACTAGCTGATGACGCCTGCATGCATGGTGGAGATCGGGCAGACATCCCGATGCTTTCCACGCCAATCACATCAAGGCTTCTTATCGGAGGCGGTGATGATTATGTTCGCCTGCCACACCAGAGAAGTTCGTTACCAGGCCCGGAAGTTGGGCTGGGATTGAGTTCGAGCACTTTGCCATGGTTGATTGCAGATTTTCATATGAGGAATAGATAATTTCAGCGAGATCTTATTATCTAAACACTCACCTATGACCATTCTAGCATATCGATAAATGTTGTGAAGCTGGGACAGCTTTGTGTAGCTAGTTCTAGTCAGAGACGCCACAGAGTAGCGCCTCCAACCAATAAGACCTACATTAGGAAGAGTATTTCTAGGCAAGTTTTCTCTTGTACTTAGACTTAGGAAAATTAACTACTTTTCTTTATATATATTAGGACACTATAGTTTATTATAGTTATAAGCCTAGCTTTTATATAAAAAACCCCTAAATATTATAATTACCTAGTGTTCTAAAAACTTTCTCTCTTAATTTATTACTAAGTAGTTTAGCTACTTTAAAAAGTAATATCCTCTAAAACTAATAAGATAACTAACTATAATAAGTTTATTAAGTTTATTATAAAGTAAAATTAGCTTAAATAGTTTATTACTTTTAAATACTATACTAAAAGTAAAAAAGTATAAAAGTATATTAATTTAGACAGTAATTCTAAAGTAAATATTACTAACTAATTAAACTTTTTAATATAGTCTTCTTACTAGCTATTATAGATCTAACAAGAGGAGTAAGGCTATAATAGGTAATATAAAGTAATATAGTATAAAGGTAAAGTATAACAGTAAAGTAGTAAAACAAAGTAAGTAATAATAAGAAGCTAAATAAATAATATAGGATAAAAGCTAGGTATAAGTATAAGTTATTTATTTAAGTTACTTTTTTTTATAAAAGAAAATAAGTAATAAGATATATACCCCTAGGTATATACCTAACGTATATATATAGTAAGTGGCCTATTATAGTAAGTAGCCTACTTCCTTCTATCTTTCTACCTTTTCTATAAGTTAATTAAGCTATAACGTACAAAATTAATTAAAACTACTTATTACTATCTTCTTTATTACTATCCTAAACTACTTTACAGGTTTATGTGTTATAACTAGTCTTTCTGTAATTACTATATTATTATACGCCTGGTTTTTTACCCTTTGTATAAGCCTCCTTTTAGGACATTTTCTTACCTCTAGCTTTAATACCTTCCTTTTCTCTTTATAGTGCCTCTACTTTAGCTGTATTAAGTAACCTTCTAAGACATAGTTAGGTCTTTTTAGCCCTCTAGCGCTTACTTAGTATATCTTGCCTTATATAAAGTCTAACGTTCTTAGCCTTAACAAGAGTAAGCCTATATACTAACTTACTAATACCTTTAGCTTAGAAGTTAATAAGCTTATATATTACTATTAGAGAGCTACCTTAATATTACTAGATCCTCTTTTTAAGAGAACTAAAGCTTTATATACCCTTAATTACTATAGTTAGTGTCTTTAGGTCCTAAGAGCTATTACTGCCTAAGGGTAAGCTAGAGGGTGTTAGTGTCTTTAGCTTAAAATCTAGGCAAGAAATAATAATTTTAGGGTTAAAAGGTACAAGACTAGCCTGTCTAAAGCTAGCTTATATATTTTCTTCCCCTATAGAAGTAAAGAATACTACTTTAAAGGTAAGAAAAAAGTTATCCTTTATAATATATAAAATCTATATTTATATTATCTTCTTAATTTTCTTACTATATAAGTGCTTTAATAGACTAAAATAACCTATATTAAGAGGTTAAAGCTTATATAATAAATAAGGAAGTATATATAAAGTAATAATCTTTTATTCTTTATAGAAATTATTAAATTTAGTTAATTTATAGTTATTATAGCTATTAAAGATTAAGAGTTAATAAGTACCCTTTATATAAGACTTTATATACTAGTTAAAATAAATTAACTAATCTAGGCTAATCTTATTTATTATTTATCTATTTTTACTTAAGTAAATACACTAGTTAGCTAAGAATTAGCTGTTTTAGTACTAAGAAAAAAGGTAATATTTACCCTTTATAATAATATATAAAGGTATTACCTAACTATCTATATATATACCCTAAATAATAAAAACCTATTCTTAATTACTAGGCTACTTTATATAAGGCTTTTTACGTTAGTTAAAAGTTATAATAACTTTTATATATAATAGTATTCCTATTAGGAACCTAGTCTTATTAAAATTATAAATATTATAATCCTATATCTTATACTTTATAATTATATTTTATATAAGTATAAACTAGCCTTATATAATTATAGGATCTTTAGCTAAGGCCCTCTAATAGTTAATCTAATATTAAAATTATATTTTTAATTATAGTTATTATTATATAAAGTGCTTTACTTATTAGGGTCTAATATATATTATATTATATTTATTTAAGAGTTAGTTAGCTATATCTTATATATCTTCTTATTATAAAAGAAACCCTTAATTAATTAAGTTAATAACCCTTTTAAGAATTATATTCTCCTCTACTTTTGTTATCTTTATTAATTTTAGACATGTCTTGTCTTATACA